TATTTATAATAAATTTTAATAATTTTTTCGGATTTTTTTGAAGCTTTATTCTGACCGATTCACCCGATTCAGATCCGGATCGCCGATGCGTCGATCCGGATTGGTTTTTGAAAAGCTCGATCCGGGTCATCGATCCGGTTTTTAAACGATTGCTTGTCCCCAATGTGCTTATTTCTAACGTAATACAAGCCTTAGGTAGAATGTTTCCTATATATTGAAAGAGCGCCTGCAACGTACTCGGGAGTGAGCCTGCAGCATATTTTGATATTTTGGGGAAAATGTTATGAACGAGATTTTTTATTTATTTTTGGTGATTAATGTTATCAAATTTTATTGCCAACTAAAATGCAGTTACATCACTCGTTCATTACATCATTCAAAATAGAAAAAGAATCCATAGCAATACCTCTTTTAGCTAAACCATCAGCAAAATCATTTGATTCTCTAAAGGCGTGATGGAACGATAAAGATAATTCCCTTTGCAAATTCACTACTTGGACCCAAAACGATCATAGTAACTAGGGAACTCTTTGTTCCTTTTTGCACCACCTAATCACATTTTAGGAGTCACCTTCGACTATTATACCGTGACCCAAATTCATGGCTTTAATAAGGAGTAATCCTTTGAGCAAGGCTTTAAACTCAGCCATGTTAGCCGTAGCAATTCCTATAGGTCTTGCATAAGCAAAAACAATTGATTCAGTCCAATCACGTACCACACCTCCTATCCCTGCATTTCTCGGATTACCGAGGGAGTTGCCATCAAAGTTTAACTTTAGCCAACCTTGTACTGGGGGGATTCATTTACCGACTGGTCTGGTCTTAACACTCTTGGAGACCACCAAATAGGCTAGATTAAGCCGCACATCGATCTCACTAACACCTCTCCCATCCTCAGTGACTGACAACCAGCACCATATCGTATGAATAATACGCTGGATTAGGCCTTTACAGGAAAGACCAATTCCTTCAAAAGTACGTCTATTTCATTCTTTCCATAACCCCCAGCACACTGCTCCTTTAACAATTTGCCAAATCCTTGCCCCCAATTTTGGTAAAGCCAAAAATACTAACTGAGAAATGATACCCAAAACACTTTGAGGAAGAGCCGTACTGAAGCCTAACATCCCAAAGAAGTAATACCATATGTACGTTGCATATCAACAATGAATAAGCAAGTGCGAAATCGACTACCCATCCTCTTTACATATCAGGCAAACACTGGGCAAGACCTTTCCCCTTTTAACGAGATTATCAACATTAAAAACCTTATTTTGCCAAGCCAACCAAATAAAACATTAGACCTTATGAGGAATGGGCCATTTCCAAATTTAGGAAATTTGAGGCAACGACCATCTGTGGCAATCCTTTCCCCTTTTAATGAGATTATCAACATTAAGAACCTTATTTTGCCCAGTAAGAACCTTATTTTGCCAAGTCAACCAAATAAAACATTAGACCTTATGAGGAATGGGTCATTTCCAAATTTGGGAAATTTGAGGCAACGACCATCTGTGGCGATCATGGAACAAAAGAGAATACATGGCTTTAATCGAAAAAATATCATTCTTACTATGCTCCCAAATCACCTCAACATCAGTATTATTAGATCAGTACCACCTCATGTAGCTGTACAAACAAGTTCGAAACCTGTGCCACAAACTGGTCATTAACTCAATTATAAGGAAACTGGATATCCCACACCATCTACTCTCCAACAACCTGATAGGTTCAACATATCAGAGCATTCGGGGAAGAGGCATTTGCGAACAATTAAGGGAAAATAATTCATGGAAGGAACTCTTCAAAGGGCAATCCCCTAACCACTTATAAAGCCAAAACGTGACTTGAGTGCCATTCCCCACACACAACCTAATATCTCTATGGAGATAGGCTTTGAACATAACAATATCCTTCCAAAATACAGATCTGAATGCACTTCTTCTACCACCTCGAATCCACACTCCAAACCTATCAACACCGTATTTAGCAGTTAGAATCTTACACCAGAGCTAATCCTTAAACAACAAACTGTGCCACCACCATTTTGTCAGCAAGGCCTCATTCATCAATGTCACTCTTCAAATACCAAGACCTCCTTCACATTTAGGGGTACATACTCTATCCCATCTTAACAAATGCTATTTCTTATTCTCCTCAAATGCATTTTCAGGAGAGACATTTGATAAATGGATAGGTTTGCCAAGCATGATTTAACAAATGTCACATATCCCACAAGCGACAAAAACTTTGGCTTCCATAAATCCAATTTAGTTTGAGCTCTTTGAATCACTCTATCACAAACTGAAATAGGAAACCTGGAATCAGAAATAAGAAGCCCCAGATAAATTATGAGGAATTTGTCCACTTTGCATCCAAGTATTCAAGGAAATTCTTCTGTTAGTTCACTGCTGCAATTAACCCCCCACTATATAAGTTTTTGCAATATTTACTTTTAACCCCACCGCCACCTTGCAACACCTCAGAAATCTGCCAATATATTCAATATACTCATTCTTGGCCTCTGAAAAGATTAGTGTATCATCTGCATACCGTATGTGAGAAATAGAAGGACCATCCTGCCCCATCTGGAATCCCACAAAATTGTCCCTATTTACCACATTAGATATCATCAAGCTGAAACACTCCGCATAAATGGTGAATAAAAAATACGACAATGGGTCCCCCTGATGGAGTCCCCTTCAGGAGTTAAAAAAACCTTTGGGGCAACCATCAATAAGAATAGAGAAATATGCCGAGGAGAGGCAACCATAAATCCATTTTTGTTTCAAATTTTATAATTCACTTTAAAATCATCTATTCCCTCGGTCAGAAGAATTATTTGGGAGGATTTTTTTTTATAGAAAATTTTGGGAATCATCGTATGATTATTTTCAGAATGTAAATTTTGGTTTTTGAAGTGGTGAGAAAAGATATGGAGATTTATGGCCTCACTGAAAATATGACCCTTAGTAGAGTAGAATGACGACCTAGGATTCGTATAGCTGACCCTAATTAGTTGAAAAAAAAAATTTGTGGGTCATAATAAAATGATTTTTAAATTTTCTAACACATAGGTCTCGTCCTCATAAAATTGGACCGCCTTTTTTCGAACTTGAGGCATTATTTTTTTGCCAAATGCATAAAGTTAGTCTATAGTTTTAAGAAGTTATATTTCAAAAATTTGAGGTTTTAAAATTGGGATTGTATATAATGACTTTGGTACAGGGAGGTCACAATTACTTATAACAATCCGATGTAAAATTTGATAGCTTGGGTGTGTCATAAAGTTTGAGAAATTTTCTTTTGAACTTTGAGATTGGTCAATGAAATAAATACAGCCACCCAATTTCATATCCAATGGTCAAGATTAGTTGCGACCACCTTGTATGAGAGGTAAATAGTCTCATTATATGCTCTCTTTAAAATTTCCTGGTTTAAGTAAGGGTGTGGTTTCTATAAGGTTGCAACCTTAAACAATCCATTCAATGCGCATCTCTAAATTTCATCATAACATGTAATTTTGGTATAAAAAATTATTAGGATTATCTGGAAATCTATTTTCATATCCAATTATAAAAATTTAAACTCCAAAAATAGTTAAATTCAAGTAGATCTATTAACATATGAAAATCTTGAAAATGGACGGTCTAGATAAATGTTGCAAGATGCACTATTTCTAGGATGCAAAACCATTTCTTTTTTCATATTCATACATCTCGATGTCTAGATTATCGGTTTTTTAACATAAAAACAACCTTTTTCGATAGATTTTTTAGGTACATCCTTAATTCTACATTTTAAGGTTGCAACATTATATAATCTTTTTCCTTTTAAGTAAGTTGAGGTTTTAAAATTACTTGGTTTAAGTGAACAATTAATCAGAGGAGCATAAAATCTTTGGGCTTCACCTATAAATTTGGGCATAGGAAGTAAATTTCACCCAAAACAAATCGTCGATTTCACCTGCCTCGTGAAAATTTCAAACCACCCCGGTTCATACTTCATAGCCAAGAATAACCACGAGGGTTGCAACAACTGTGCACCCTAGGTCACATGAAGCGCAACCAAGGAGGCATAAGCCCCACCTTGCACCCCTTTCAACTCCTCATGCCTCCCCTTCTCAGCAACCACACCATCCCTCAACACAACAATCGAATCCGCACCCTTGATTGTAGACAATCGATGGGCCACAACGATAGTGGTGCGCCCGACCATGACCCGATCAAGAGCCTGCTGGACTACCTTCTCGGCCTCCACATCAAGAGCACTAGTGGCCTCATCCAAGAGCAAGACCCTTGGGTCCCTAAGTATGGCTCTTGCAATGGCCACCCTTTGCTTTTGCCCACCTGAGAGCTGAGCTCCCCTCTCACCCACCCGAGTGTCGTAGCCTTCGGGGAGACTTGATATGAAGGTGTGGGCATTGGCAGCTTCGGAGGCCGCAACCAGTTGCACTTCAGAGGCCTCGCCATCCTTGCCGTATGCGATGTTGGCTCGGATCGTGTCATTGAATAGGACGGGTTCTTGGCTCACGAGACCCATTTGTTGTCGGAGCCACTGGAGGTTAAGTTGTTGGATGTTGGTGTGGTCGAGGAGGATGCAGCCCGAGTTGGGGTCATAGAACCTCTCAAGAAGTGAGATGATGGTTGATTTCCCGCTGCCGCTTTCTCCTACAATGGCGACTGTCTGTGGAGAGGAGAAACACATCATAAGTCATAGAAGACAAACTGCATGCTTCTCTCTCTCACACACCCATACCAACATTGTTGTGCTAATTAGTGCTACCACAACACTCCACTCCTTTGCTGGTGTCAATCACACCTTTTCTCTCCCTCTCCCTCTCAACATAGGTAAAAAAATAAGTCGTCTACACTTGATATTGCATGTTGATATGTTGATAACACATGGTTATATAAGAAATAACTAAAAATGGTTAAAAGGCTAATAGCAAATTTCAAACTCAAGCATTGGCCTTCATCCAGCCATCTTACATGCAATAGAAATGAAAACTACACTAAATATACCAAAATATAAATTTTTGTTATAAATAATAGTCAAACAACATGTCTAGCCATTATCAACTTTTAGTCCGAAGCACTAGACACTTTGGAGAAGCACTGTCCCTCTCCATGTAACACCTCCAAGTAGCACCAGCACCAAACTTGATGGCGACATGCTTTCACAGGGAGAGAGTAACTCCTTTTTTTTTTTTTCTTGCACAAAACAAGGATAGGGATATATGATGCCATGGCATGCCATAATTGAATATATTTCATGCATGGAAAACTGGATGCTTGTATGTGACTGTGGGTGTATGTATGCATGCATGTGCCTGTGTGTAGAATAAAAGAAAGAACATTGCACAATTGCATAAGTACAAAAATCAAAAGGTGGCATCTTGACATTATTTGTGAGCATAAGCTAACATCTCTTCTCAGGTTATATTCAGCAAGACATCTGCACATTCTTCTCTTGTTGGAAAATAGAAGTTTGAAATTTTTAGAACCATGTGAAAACACGTGAAAACTAATCATAGTTATGATTTTTCACAAATAGAATCTGCTGATAAACCGCAATGTAGGTGTGAAGACTGTCTATTCTTACCTTACCAGACTCGATAGTTAAGCACAGGTCTGTGAAGATTTGAACATTGGGTCTTGATGGGTACTTGAAGCTAACATGATTAAACTCAATATCTCCCTTGACAACAGGCAGTGTTGTGCCAGAGTCATCGCTAGAATCTATCTTTGACTTTCGGTCGAGAATTGCAAAAATGGAAGCAGCAGAAGCCTTCGCCTTGGAAGCTTCTGGTGCCCAGGAGCTTGATTGGGACAACCCAACAGCCGACATGGTAAGCACAAAGAAAACCTGAAACATGCAGAATCGACATTGTTTTGATTCAAGCAAAAACGTAGAAGAAAATGGCCTTGGAGCACACAAAGAGCGACTTTGAGAGAGTTTACAGACTTCTTTATGAGAGGAAACTACTCTTAATTTTGAATGATTTTGGAGACCAAGTTCAAGTGGCATTCACTGCGCATTGGGCCTTTCACAGAAGATCTTTTCTCTTATTTTTATAGATGTTCTGTAGAAGTTTTTGAAAATCTTATTCAAGTAGGAGAAGTCACTGCAGTTTCTGGAGCTTGAGCGGTTTAGAAAACATCCGAAGAGGAAGAGTAGGATGTGAAACATACCTTGAAAACCTTCCCAAATGTCGTCTTTGAATCCTCAACGAGATGAGCTCCAACATAGAAACTGACTGCATACATGCAATACAATAGAAAGAGTGAAGTTCCAAAACTGATGCCACTTATCACCCCTTGCTTAACACCGGCCTTCACAGGACCTTCACATGCCTTTGTGAATAGATCCATCACCTTCTCTTCAGCACAGAACGAAGCAACCGTTCTTATGCTACCAACAGCATCACTTGCCACTCGGCTCGCTTCTTCATACTTAGCCTGGACCCAGAGACCAGATTCCATGTTTAGGCTGAACAAGTAGGCAATTGTATCTCTCAAAACACAGTGCTCCATCAGAGGCATGCATCAATAGGTGGTAAACTGGCAATGTATCAAGGTTATTCTACCATGCACTTCTCCAATGTTGAATTTAGAATATAGTACTCCTAAAATTTTGACAAGAAATGTCCTTATATATGTTGCAAAGATTTAATTGGTAGGGACATTTTTGTCATATTCCAAGGAAAATCCAAAATCATGGCATATCTCTTTATTCATTCCGTGTAATTTACATGGTAAATGCAGAGCTGTATATAATTATTTAAACATTTCCCTTGACAAATGACAGAAAATGCTCTTATGCACAAATGCTTATAAAGGAGGCAACAATATTTCTTGTCAAATATTTGAAGCATACCATTCTAAGTTCACCATTAGAATGGTGTCTCATAGAATAACCCCTAGAGAATTCTGTAGAGATAGATGGATATAGGAGAGTATTTGTACCTTGGCATCAGCACTAAAGCCCTTCATAGACCTCATCTGTGTCCACCCCTCAAGTCCCACCAAAGGCGACAAAGCCAGGATTAGGAGAGCTAGCTGCCAACAGGCCGAAAATGCAATCACTACCCCGCCAACTGCTGTGGCCACATTCTGCACGGCAAGCCCGAGTGCCTCGCCCACCAGGGACCTCACGCCTGCCGCATCCGCCTCAAGCCTCGCAGCAACTTCCGCACTCGTGTTTCCGACCTCATCAAACCACCCCATCTCTTGTCTCACCACAGCCTCAAAAGCCATAGCCCGAACCCGCCTTATCAACTTCCCACCAGCCACCGCAAAGAAATACCTATGCACTGGGCTCACTACGAAAGACCCAACACCAAGGAAAAGAAACATTAGAGACCAAGAGGAGGCTTCCTTCTTGAGATTTTGAGGGGGTTCAAAGAAAGCTCGGAGAATGCTTGATAAGAGAAGCCCAAAAACTGGAAGTATGAGACCATGGATACCAGCTGCAACTGCACCAAGAAATAGCACGGGGAACTCGGGCTTGTTGAGGTGAGCTAGCCGGGCCAATGAGACGTTAGGTTGGGGATCACCACATTCCTGGAAGGTGGTGGCGGACTTCGGTAGTGTTGTCTCTTGGAAGTCGAGGGGTGTAAAGGACCGGGAGCTGCTTGATGATCGTTGGAAAGAGAACCTTTGAGTCATGGATAGCCGAAAAGATAGCCTTTTGCTCAAAGAAAACCTCTGGCTTGGAGGCTGAGAGGCTTCAGATATTATGTCTGGCTTTTCGTAGGATTCTTCTGTATACTGTTGTTCCTCTTGTTTAACTTGGTTGAGTTCTTGAAGGTGGAGGAGTTGGCTATAGGCTCCATTTTGGTTCTTGAGCAAGTCTGAATGGGAACCTAGCAATTCAGCAACACTTCAAGAATTAGAGCTCTCTGCATGGCTCTTATTACATGGTAGGAAGAATATCAGGGCAGCGCCTGGACGCCAGCATAGTCCAAAAGCTTGAAATATAAGGACAATGCCTGGAGTATTTAAATGTTTGAAATGATTATTCTGCCCTTGGATAAGTCTTTAAAATACCATGAAATACAACGTAAAAAGGAATTTGGTTGAGCCCTGTCCTGTACCTAAAATTTGGTTTGCTAGTGGTTGAAAGTTGAAACAGTTCCACGTTACTTAGCGAGAAAAGAAACATTTCGAATGCCCAAGAATTCAAACTTTGGTTTAGGCCTCTTTCAGATACATCTAACTCATGAAGCTCATTTGGATGGTCCAAATACCTTTTGTCTACTTTCCTAGTTTACCTAAGATACTCAAATATTAAAAACAGATAGCACTATTCAGTGGAAATGAGGATTAGTCTCCAAAAGAGAAAAAAAAAAAAGTGTGCAATATTTTATGGATCATCAAATTTCACACATCGAGAGAGAGAGAGAGAGAGACAGAGAAAGAGAGAGAGAGAGAGAGAGAAATAGAAATGAACAAAAAAGGTAACTCTCACCTTTTTCTATGATCAATCCTCGGTTAAGCACAACAATGGTATCAGAGTTCTTCACTGTGGCAAGGCGATGGGCAATGACCACTGTCGTGCAATCGACCATGATTCGATCAAGTGCCTCCTGCACCAAACGCTCTGACTCCGCATCAAGGGCACTGGTGGCTTCATCAAGCAGCAAAATTCTTGGATTTTTTAGAATTGCCCTTGCAATTGCAACTCTTTGCTTTTGACCACCTGATAACTGGGTCCCACGCTCTCCAACCATTGTATCAAGTCCCTACAAATAGACCATACCATTCTTTATCAGAAGTCACATCATCGTCAATGCCTTTTCCCAACTAATTGGGGCCGGCTACATGAATCCTGGTCCGTCAATTCCAAATTCATGAGACATTTTAGTGAAGTTTTATGTTGGCTGCCTACCTAACACAACCCATCCCCTTTATCCGGGCTTGGGACGGTTAAGGGAAAGTTAAAAGTCCTCACCCTTCTTTATCAGAAGTCTGAAATTCTATATTCTATGTTAAATGGGAAGTCTGAAAGGACCAGATGTTTGGATGACCTATGCATGCCTCAAAAATGAGAACTGCCAAAAAAAAAGAAGAACGATGAGAGAAAAATAATTTGTTGAATATGGGGAAAGTAGTGGTTTGTCTGTATTGCCCATCATTGGACAAGGGAGACTGCTTGGAGTATGTTACATGCAGTACGTTATATACTCTCTTGAGTAAACCCCGCCATTTTCTGGATAAACAACATTGGTTGTATCCATAAAAAAATTTCCTTTTATCAACAACATATTTATGAATTCAATTAGATGTCTGAGGCCAGATTTACTTATAGGAAATTTACACAGAAAAATATTTCTTTGTTAGTTTTAATGTAGGAAATTTACACAGGAAAATATTTCTTTGTTAGTTTTAATGTAGGAAATTTACACAGGAAAATATTTCTTTGTTAGTTTTAATGCATGTTCAAAATAATACATGTACATACACATAATTATTGTATATGCAGAAGAAATTTAATTCTTTACCAGGAAACATAGACTTATAAGTTAACTTAGAAACCCAGATAGAAGATTATAGAAGAAATATACCTGAGGCATGTTTTCGATGAATTTGGAAGCATTGGCAAGCTCGATTGCAGACATTATTTCTTCAGTAGTTGCACCATCCTTCCCATAAGCAATATTTTCTCTTATGCTAGAAGCAAAAAGAACTGGTTCCTGGCTTACTAGCCCAATCTTTTCTCTAATCCATCTCAACTGCAGATGCTTCAGGTTGACACCATCAACAAGCACTTCACCAGCATCTGGGTCATAGAACCTCTCAATCAAGCTTATTATTGTTGATTTCCCACTCCCACTTTCTCCAACTAGTGCCACTGTACGTCCACTTGGTATGCAAAGTGAAAATCCAGCAAATATAGGCACATCTGGTCTTGCCGGGTAGCAGAAATGCACATCCCGAAACTCTATATCCCCCTTGACATTCTCTAGTTTAGTGCCACTTGTATCATATGCATCAATTACTGGCTTTCTTTTTATAGTCTCAAGCATTTTGGATGCTGCAGCTTGCCCAGCTGCAAATGCAGCCATGCATGGGGATGCCTGGCCTAGCGACCTGCACTCCCATAAAATATGACAAATTGAAGAGATAAATGGGCTGCAAATCTCATGCACAAATGCAATATTTGAAGTTTCAAATGTTCTTGAAACATTTACCGACACATCTTCTAAGGCATATTCTATTAAAATATGCACCAGCAGTTTTAAAAACCCTTCTTACTATGATTTGCAACTAAAATGGAAAAATTTTCACCATGAAGTGATTGAACTCACAATCCTCCAGTCAAGATTGCCATTATAACATTGAAGATTTGGCCACCCGTATACCCTTTCTCCAATATCAACTTGCATCCAAACCATAAAGCCAAGGCGTAACTGCCAAAGAAGAAGAACAGAAGGGCACCAAATCCTGCTCCTGCAACTGAACCTTCTTGAACAGTAGACATGTAAGCCTTCCTTAGTGACTTGTTATATTTTGCTACTGCTTGCTTCTCCCCAGTAAATGATGCTACCTGAATAAATTACCTCTATTTCAAAACAAATAAAGAAAAATCAACAGGTATCAAGGATGATGTTTCTGACTCGACAATTTGTAGAGATGTCTTGGTGATTACAGAGTTTCTAAAAGCCAGATTTTGACACACTTGGAGAGAGATTGGCAAGTTAGCTGATTCCCTTGCTAGAGATGGAGTGTTGAGAACATACGTACTAGTCAAGGACCTTATTTCAGGCCCATAAGTCTTGTGTCACACAGTTAGATAGAATGCATATGTGCCTTCTTGTTTATATTACATGTTTCATGGCCAATTAGAGTCCCAAGCCTATATAATCAGCATTTTACAGCCATGGACATGCAGTGTCATACATTATATTCAGGACCATATATATAATAGGAGAAGGAGGAAAATTTAACTTTTATATATTTGGGTTGAATAGGAAGGATGCCCTGTTTACTCGGTTTTCCTTGCTTGGCTGTTATCCATTTGCACCGCAATGTAGATACAACATGTGCACCATATGATTTGGTTACAAAGAATACACTATCACCGATGCATAATACTGGATTAGGCTTGCCATCATAGAGCACATATAAATGCATCATGAGAAAGTGAAGATGGACACTGATTTTAGAAGCAGATCTGCTCTCTCATTGAGTATCACTAGTGAAGCTTTTTTAAAAAAATAAGTTGTACTTCAACTTCTATGTATAACATCAAGCAAAAAAAAAAAGATGACAATTCCCATGCAATTTTCAAGCCATAAAGTTATTGACTACTTCGGACAGGATATATCTGGCATTTTAATATGAAGTATTATCAGGACATATTCGAGAAAAAGGGATTACAATCATTTTTCGGATTGTAAATACAATTGGGAAGAGGTGCCAAGCTCTATAAATTTGAAACTCTATCACGTACAAGTAAATGTTACATACAGTTTTGATTGAGCTAATTGTCTGCTCCACTACAATCCCAGCCTCATTGTAAGCTGCTTGTCCACGCGTCGACATTTTAGATATGGTAACTGCCATTGCCGCCCCGCAAACAGCTATAGGAGGAAAAGAAGATAACATCACAAGGGCTAAAAGCCATCCTTGGAAAAATGCTACTGCAAAGCCTCCTATGAATGTGGAAACCAGTTGGATGAACTTGCCCACCTTAGAAAACAAAAAACAGGAAGGGTATGTAAGCATACTGAATCCATTTTTGGGAAAGCATGTCATATAGACCAATGGAGTGCAAACAGGTATTTAAAAACATAAACCAGCAGGGGCTGGTCTGAGTCAGCACATCGACTCCCGAGTTTCACTGGTCAAGGCTTGGACCAGAATCTCATTCCTTTTTCTGAAGACACAGATAAACTCGGAACTCAGCAGGACACTGTCAAGACTGGTATCACAATTGGGTGGATCAGGGTCATCCAGAACAGGCATGACTGAACTGGCGAGCTCAATTGGATTCACTGAGTTTTAAAAGACTGCAAAAATTCATATTGTATCCATGAAATGATGGATGGTGATAAAGAGAGTGTGTGAACTGAGAAGTAAGTCCAACCCTCACCATTGCCGCCCATCAGTTAATGGAACAGATTAACCAGAATGACCACTTCTTAGCAAAAAATCCCTGAATGTCTAAACCCCGCATTTGGAAAGTGACCTTCCATATTTTCTCCATTATGGTGTATTTTTCGTCCATGAGTTGCATGAACAATCCGGATTGAGCATGTATTTAGGAATTATGATACACCAATTAAAATTTTGATCTGCTTTATCATGAAGTATAACATAGATCAGAAATCACAATATCATGCTCGCATCAATCAGGGAAAAGATTAATGAGAGTAAATGCCGAATAGACATGAAACACCACAAGAAGGGGATTTCAGTAAAATTTCAGATTTAGTTTTTGCATTAGCATAGACAAGAACAACTTGTCAATTGTGAAATATGATAACATACAAATCCATTAAAGTGGATTTTTAAGGAGCAATTCATCACATACTATTGGAAATATGAAGGACCATCTAACTTATACAGGCATATAAGTTTTACTTTTTTAGTTAATGTCAATTTCTGATCAAGATGCCGAGATGCGATGAGTGAAAAAACCGATGAATATAGGCATGTCACTACTGAAAGCGAAGCATATAATTTAAATTATTGGGGGATTTGATCTTGATGCAATTGTTTCCTCAAAGGAGCCATTTTCACATTGCAAAATCTCCACTTTTGAATAAGATTTGCAGCCATGCAAATTCAGTAGTTCATACGCCATAGGTTAAGATATCTGGCATTAGAACTATTCAAATTTCTAGAGAGAGTGAATGAGGAGTAGACAATGCTGTACATCCTTAAAATATAAATTATGTAACTTGTCAAAGGAGTTTAGAACAATATGTAATCTCTCTTTTTCTGTCTCTCACTCTCTCTTTAGAGGGACCAGCATACCTTCTCACTCATGGCATCTTGAATGAGAGAGGTATCACCAGATATCCTTGAAATCACTTCCCCTGTTGAAGTCTCCATATCAAAGAAAACCATATCCTGCCTCAATATGGTTCTCAAGTACAAGCTCCTTATTCTTGCAGCCTGCCTTTCTCCAGCAATCATCCAGCAAGAAACCTCTGCAACAACAAAAATTAAGAGAGAGAAATAAACCTCACCTGTTTCTCACTCTAAGAATCTATGAGAGAGAATATGAGGCATTAAATCAACACAGAATGGAAAGACTGAAGAACTAAGAGGGCTGTGAACTCACGAAGAAGTGCTGCGACAAAAGATCCAATGGCCAAATAAACAAAGTCCAGAGCCACCTATGGTCATAAACACCAACCCAACTATGAAAATTGGAACAAAATGCCATCTTTTTTTCTCTCTCTCCATGAACAATAGACGAAATTTGAATGAAACAGATAAACCGCTACTCCTATAGAGAGTGAAACAGAAACGAGACAAATGTTTTCATCTCTCTCACGAATTGGAGGCACAGAGTGAGGTGTTGGGCGGGACTGCTAGGAGAGAGAGACATACATAACCGTTACCTCGCACTAGTTATATATGAGCCCATTTGAATGGCTAAACAATACTACCAAATCGACCATTGATGAGAGCGCCATTTACTTTTGGTACGGGCATATCACAATTATTTAGAGTCATGTTCATAGTTTGGGTGTATTACAAAGTTTTTTTTTTAAAAAAAAAATTGAACTTTCAGCTTGATCAATAAAATAAATGCAATTACCTAATTTCATATTTATGGTCAAGATTAATGTGACCGCCTTGTACGAAAGATCAATGATCTCGTTATAAATTTTCCTAATATTTAATGTAAAATTTATAGTGTAAGTTTTTTATATTTTTCCTATTACATAAAAGTTATATAATTCCCCTATACAACGGATGGGAGAGTATATATCTTCCATACATTAGGAGAAATATAGAAACTTTTCCAAATATATAACAAGATTGTTTGACCTTTGGTATAAAAAGCTTATAAAAGTGATTTATCTACTTACCTTAAATTTTTTGGGAAAATTACATTCATACCGTATTATTTGACTATTATTACATGATGGTCCAAAAATATACGATATGGGGATGTCCTTGTCCATTTATGTGGATGTCCTTGTCCATTAATTTTCAAATAGGATGATTATAAGAGTGTCATTCAATAAACTCAAAGTTCCAAAAAAAAAAAAAAAATCTTGAATTGTGACACATCCAATCAATCCTGGCCCGATTCCTTGCGTAACTAGAACTATAAATGGTCGCCATAAAGGACAGATAAGTCATCCCTCCACCGAACACCAAAAAAGGATTAGATGTGCATATGCACTTTTAATGCATGCATACACATGTACATAAAATACAGGGATGGTATACTATAATGGGAATTGGAAATTTTCTCCACAAAATTTAAAAAAAAAGTTTTATAATTTGGGTGTGATCAATGGTTAGGGAAGGCAATTTACCCGATTTGGATCCAAAGCCTGAATCTCGGATCCTATTAGATCTCGGCATGGATCCAAGGTTTGGATCTGATGGGTCAGATCCGATCTAATAGTAATTGGGATCGGATCAGGGTATAAGTGGATTCGACCCAATTATTAAAATACTACTATATATATAGTATACTAATTTATATTAATTTATAAATATAAAATAACACATAAAATAATGTTTTGGATTCAATCGAGTCTGGATGCATAACCCATGTATACTTTTATATCCGGATCCAAATCCCAATGGATCTAGAACCGATCCAACCCGTTCTCCGCCCTATCAAAGGCACACCTAGCGCAACTGGATTTTCTATATGACAATTATATATGTTTGTATCGCTCTTGTAGAGAAGGCAAATAATTTTATTGTATACTACACCGGAAATATTTGTGTTCCCATATGCACAGAGAACAAAATACAATATAAATAATTGACTTCAAGATTAAAGACAAATCATCCGGCTTTAGGTTTTCAATGATTTGACAGAAAATATGGAGGTGATGTTGGCTTTTTTTATTGGGAAAAAACAACATTCAATAAGTTTTGTCGATTTTTTTTTTTTCTTTCATCTGCTAGTAGATTATTTTTTATTAAAAACAAAAAAAAAGAAACCCAAAGTCTTCCCCTTAATAAACTAATCAATAGTTTAAATGGTTCTTATTCCCATCCAAATTGAAATGGGTCCAAAACGAATTTTAAAAAACTGATTGCACGATGTAGGCTAGATTTATCTAGATAGTATTGCTCCTTGAGACCATGTTAGCGCTCTTCTCCCTTAAAAACCAATCACTAGAATTATCCCAAAAAAAAAAAAAATTCGTTAAAAGGGTTAAAAAATAGATTATTTGAAAGAAGGTAAGTAGGAAAATAACCGTTAAAAAGGTTAAAAATTAGATTATTTGAAAGAAGCATTTAAAAAGTCAGACTTGGGCTCTAACTCGCCAAGTTCCTGAGTCTAAGTCTCCCAGTCCGCCTTGGGTGTGTCCGAGTCAGATTAGGGTATTTTTAATATGAAAAACTATGAAAAATAGAAGACTCTTAACAATTTTGGGGTTTTTAGGCCCATAATTGTTTGGTTCCACATCTGTTCCGATTCAAAGGAGCTAGCTTCAAAGTGGCAATTTTTTAACATTGTCTGAAAACATTAGGAAAAAAAAACCATTCAAACATAGTTTTAGTGAGGCAGCCCATGCACCAAAACATGTGTGTCTCCTCATGCATCAGACATCCATCTTAGAGATGGATGTAAGAAATTTTGCTTCCACTATATCTCAAATGGACGGTGGAAAAACATATTTTTAAAAATATGTTTTTTATATTTTAAAAATAAAAGTTCTAAGTCCATAAATAACGTGATTTTTTTATATTAACAAATCCCAAATTTTGGGATCCAAAACCCATCTTAAAGATTAGTTTTGAAAGGGGGCCTTACACCTACAGGTGAGACGGCTGACTCACCACACTCTTCCTTTAGAAATAGAATAAAGGAAAAAGTTTATGTAAGGGTGAGGCCCTAAACAATTAAAAAAAGACTCACTTTAAAAATTCATTAGAAAAGGTTTTTCCGATGCGCAAAGATCCTCAAATCGATCATCTCAATCTCAAAATGTATAGGAATGAGACAAAATGGATTTCAAGTATTGAAAATAGTGCATCTTCTAATGCATTTCCTATACCGTCAATTTTCAAGATTTTAAAGTATTCATATATATACTCGATTTACACTATTTTTTAAGCTTTAAATTTTATAATTAATTATGAAAATAAATTTTCAGGCCACCACAAAGATTTCTAGTTCTAAAACATCATTTCTCGACAATGTTTGAAGGTGCACCTTACTTTGATTGTTTAGGGCCTCAGCCTTATACAAACCACACCCTTAAGAAATATAGGAACACTTAACACAATCTTTTTTAGCAGGAGAATGGATATTAATATTACAATATAGACCTCAAGCAGTTAGGTACCCACAGGGCCAGGTCACTTGTTGCTGTCTCATACCAGTCTTGTCCTCTAATATCTCTAGCTCCATGGCCATGGAAGGTCAAGAATCAAGATCCAAGATCTTTAGACAAATTGTGATAAATTCATTCCATTTAATAACTCAAAAATTAAAGCCATTTCCTTCTTAAATTCATTAGAGGAATAGAATTCGACTTCCTTTTTCTTTTCCTTTTTTGTAACTGTGAAATATTTACTTCTATTTTTTTTTCCCTTTTTGAATGTTAAAAATTCACTACTAATTTAACTAAAGGGAAAAGGTGTGTACCATTGAGACTGCATGAACCACCTTACTGATGTCTTGGGTCTGCCCAAATGAATTAATCACCCTACCAAATATTATGGTTACAGAAGGCATGGATAGTCCGCTCCCAATAGCTGCAATTGATCCCACCACCATCAAGACCATATCTGTGGTATCAGCAAATGAGAACAGCTTGTAATATGGGACACTCTTGTGGGTAACACCCTTTTCTCCTTCTTCCTTGTCACATGCTTCAGCATTCTCTCTTGTGCCAGAGTCCGATACCGTCGCCCCGACCATCGAAGCTCCCTCTCTCTCTCTC